CATAGTGCTCAGACACTTTTCTATTATTCTAGAGCTCACAATTGAAATTACTTTCTACTCAAAATAAACAAGTATACTACAAGTATATGCATAAAGATCAAATTTTAGGTGAAGCAGTAAATACAAAGGACTGAATACATATAGCCAACAGGTAACTCAAGAATTAATATCAATAGTCCTTGTTCTGTTTGTGAAAGAATTATGTCAAGTTGATCGAAAGTATTCAACAGATTTAAATACTGCAAGCAAGATAATTCATGATAGTTTTTGTGTTAGGTTTTAGAATACATCTCTATGTCTCTGTCAGAATGTAGTCATGAGCTATGTAACAACAGTTAAGAAAACAGAATCCATATATGGTGTTGGGTCCTCATAACTATTTGAATAGTAACTGTGAAACTCCACTGTGAATATATCATTTAGCTGAGGGTGGTAAGGTTAATGTATGCAAATCTACTGTGCTGCCAGGCCTATAAAAGTGTAGCAAATACAATTATATAGAATGCATAAGACTTTATAATGATAATTAATAGCCACGTTAGTGACATATATTCAATATACTATATTTTCATATCCCTATCTCAAAGGTTCTTCACTTTACCTACATAAACAAGCTTACTGAAGAAGTTCATTATCTTTAGTTGGCAGCAGCCTGATGCATTTCCTGTTTGCTGAGACTTTTCACTGCATTATTTTCCTTTGTACTTGAGTTAACCTCAGGTTATTTGTTCACTGCAGCCTCTAGGCAATAAAAAATGCACTGCTGAGGATATCACTGAGAGGCCATGCTGAAACATAATTCCTTAGGTATCTCAAAGAAAACAGGTATGAAATAAATACAGAAGAAAATGAGAAAGGAGTTAAAACACTTTAACATAAAAAAATGAAGCACAATATTATGATATATAAGCAAGTTATGATGTACCTTACATCATGAAAGAAATAATAACATGTTAACAAAAATGCACAATGATACATGTCATAACTAGACTAAACGTCACAGTCATAATGTCAAATCAAAGAAACCAAAAACATACAGAAGACTATATATCCTATAATACGATTTATATGAAGTTCAGCTCAGGCAGAACTGATCAAAAATAATAGAAGTCACAGAGAGGTTAACTTCAAGATTTCTAAGTGTGGAAGTGAGGAAGTCATCCATGGTACTGTTAATGTTGGTATCAGTAGGAATTAAAATTAGTATAGATCCAAGGAATTGTAAATTTAGTCTAGGAGTAAATATTGAGTGCTTGTGTGATGCAATATTGATATTTTGAGAATTCTATATATTAATGAAGAATATATAACAAACTACCACAATAAAATTAATATGAACTTTTAAAAGAAAATGTACCTAATAAAACCCTAAACGGATATTCATTCATACTGATGAGAAGGCAAATGAAAATTAAAACACGCTACATTTTACCCATCATATTTTCACTACTATAATTAAAATCAGAGAATTGAAATCTAATTTTGAAATTACAGCGTGGTGGGGCTGGGGATTTAGCTCAGCGGCACAGTGCCTGCCTGGCAAGCACAAGGTCGTGAGTTCAATTCCTGGTACTGGAAAAAGAAAACAAAAAAGAAAAAAAAAAAAGAAATTAGAGCATGGTGGTGCATAACTATAATACCAGCACTCAAGAGGCTGAGGCAAGATGGTTGCATGAGTTCAAGGTCAGCTTGGGCCACAAAGTGAATTCAAGGCCTGCCTGAGCTACATAGCAAGATCCTATCTCAAAAAGAAATACATAAAGACAATTTTGAAAATATAAAAATGCTGTCACATGTGATTTATGTGAGTATAAATTAGTGTAGGTTTCTTGTTTGTTTGGAAAACTGTCAAAATTTGTTTCCTGAATTTTGTCTTTAGGTCTCTGTCCCTTACAGATACTCGGTGACAGCCTAAGGAACTATAAATTGTTCAAAGCAGAACTTTTAATAATATAGATTAAATAACAGATGATCTACATGATGTTCAGTAGGGTATTTATTTCATTATAGTGCATCAATAGTCAATAGTTTTTTTTTTAAGTCATGTATCAGTCAAAAAAGAACTAGAGGTGGAGAATTAGAGCCCATGAGCACACCCACAGTATTTTGTTTGGGAAGAAACTTCTCTATTCTCCTCTTGGTGGTATGGAGTTGCAAGGAGAGGAAAAGAGAGACATACTTTATATATGCCTGGAATATTTGAAAAATAAAATGAAATGAAAAGTAAGAATTCTTATGAAAAGTGACTCTAGATGCACAAAGTGGCGTAACCCAGGGTGTGATGGTAGGAGAAATGCAAAGAACCTGTGGTCAAAATGTCCTTAATGTCCTTTTACCCTGATCAGACTCAATCTAGGGGCCACAGAGCATTCGCCTCTTAGATTCAGTTGATACTTTTGAAAATATCATGTATTTTTCTCTATGCATTGATTTTTCTCCTAACATCCTATTATTATTACTCCAGTACATATGGTTTTTCTATTCAATAGTTTCTGGCATAAGGTTGTAATTAAAATTTTTAATGATCCCCTTTGAAATTTTATGGTACGTACCTGAATCCCTAAATCCCTCAACATCAAAATTTCCTAATGGTGGCCAGTGTAACCAAGGGTGTATATTTTAATTTATTTATCTTTGTGTTTCTGTAGCATCTAGGGTGGGTTGATAGTGTTAGTGTGCCAAGATCTAACCATTTGCCTTCAATGGACACAAGACAAGTAGTTTGACTTTAAGTTTACTGTATGAAAACCTTTCTTCATGTTCAAGTTCTTAGCACCTGCCTTCAAGATCAACTTTTACTGCTAGCTGTTGTCTTTTCAGTAGTATATCATACTGTACATACAAAATTATAATGCTTACGTAAGTCAAATTGCATTTTAAAAGTTTAAGGATATAAGACTTGCAAAGTAAACAGTTTCTGCTTCTTGGTATTGAGAAGAATGTTTGCTCATGTTTTTATGTTTATAAATTTTAGCACTAAATGTTCAAAAAATTTTAAACATTAAAAATGAATAGTGAAAATTTTTCACAAAACAAATCCATCATTAAATAATTGTTTTAATAAAGCCTTTTAAGATTCCTGTGAGTGGAAGTAAGTCCTTCTAAAGAGCTTCCTGGGGAAACGGAAATCCCAGTTTTGTCTTGTGGTTTTCTGTCAATATAACTCTTCTAGGAATCTAACCTATGCAAACAAAAGGAAAAGATAACATATCATTTGATATTAAATCCTACCAACACCATTATTCTCAAAACTATTTAATGGTTTTAATTAAGTGAAATTTAAATAAATTGTTAAATAAAAATTAACTTGCAAAAAGAGGAGAAATCCAAATATATGAAATTTTTGTGTACAAATAAAATGTTAATGTACATGGACACAAAAATTCATAGAAAGTTTATACATTTATCATCAATATACCTGCATGCACTGCAGAAAACTAGAAACTTTAAATGACTAACAAGAAAATTCTAGTTGTTAAGTTCAACTTCTATAAGTACTTTTTTATCTTTATATTTAACCTAGTTTCTTATGTGGTTTAGTTTTCTGTTTGTATATATTTTAATATATCCTCAATACAGATTTTATGCTTTTTGATTTATTTCATAAGTATTTTCTTAGGTAAAATGCTTTTGTAAACATCAATTTAACAAAATGGCACTTAAACATTGTGTTTTACTTCATAAGATTTCTTAACATTTTTAATTAACATAAGACTGATAAAGTATATTTACATGCTTGCTTTGATATAGGTTTTATTAATTTATTTAAAATCTTTCACTTAGTATAAGAATAATTTTTTTCAATGTGCTTATTCTTGTTGATTTGTTTAAAAGGAAAGTATACTGTTCATAAATTTAGAGGGAGCATAAAGGATAAGATAGAAAAGAATCTCTACTAGTTACACTTTAAATTACTACATTTTAGCTCTTCAGGACATCGCTGTATTTATGGCAGCACTGAGTGGAGTTAATACCAGCTATTAGGAATCTCCAAGATTTTCATCTCATACAGTAGCATCTTCTAGTCATTGCTCACACAAATGAATGAAATACACACACAGACTCATACAAACTTGCAACATTATTAATCTCAGAGAAATACTTTCTACTTATTCAATTTGGTAATATAGTCAAAAGAGAGTCATTTAAATGCCTGAGTAATTATTTTATGATTCCATTTAGATCATTATAAGGATGTGTGCCCATGTGCACACAGAAATAAAATGATTAAAACACAGATCATAAATGAGATAATAATGTATTATGGTCAATAATAAGCTTGACAGACATCCTGGAAACATGTATAGAGTTGAATGCCCAGATATAAATACAAAGTGAAGTACTGTCCTTTTCCTTCATTTGTACGGTTTAAATTCCTACAAGTGTTAGCTTGATGGAAAAGAACACAGACATTTCTTTCCAGTTAAACCTTCTATGGACCTTGCTGGGTTTGGTGGTACAGGCCTCTAATCCAGGCACTTTGGAGGCTGAGGCAGGAGGATCACTGTAAGTTCAAGGCCAACGTGGGCTGTGTAAAGAGACCCTGTGTCAAAAACAAAAATGTCTAAATATCTCAGTGCCTGATCACTAGAATACTAAATGCTACCTTCAAGGGCTTTTGTTTTGTTTTGCTTTGCTCTGTTTTTCCTGAACACTTTTATTTGAAAATGTAATTAGGAGATATAACTTGTTTCTTGAGATTGAGTGTCAGAAAAGAGCAGTAAGTAATGTACTGAAGGATGAAGTGGAGAAAAGCCACCATTGAATGTCAAAGTGATTTTATGCTACAAAAGTCTTGGCTGCTTCTTAATGCTTCAAAGTTGTAGCTGTTTGGAGAATACATATTTCTATCAGCTATGGAGAATGTAACTTCATCCAGTTAATCAACACAAGTGTACCTTAGAGAAAGTGAGTATATTGCTATATTTGATGTGACTTCCTACCTAATTTTAATGTCACTAATGCTTCATTGTTTAATATCTTTCATAGAACCAAGTCAAATGGATGAAAATCAGACAGAAGGTGTGAAAGAATTTTTCCTGGCAGGTTTCTCACACACATCATCTATTGAAGCAGGATTATTTGTATTATGTCTTTTCCTCTATGTGTCCACTTGGGTAGGCAATGTCCTCATCATGGTAACAGTGGCTTCTGATAGGTACCTAAATTCATCACCTATGTATTTCCTTCTTGGCAACCTGTCATTCCTGGACCTATGCTACTCAAATATAACTACCCCCAAGCTTCTGGTTGATTTCCTTCATGATGAAAAGATCATTCCTTATGACCAATGCATTGTGCAGCTCTTCTTTCTGCATTTTGTGGGGGCTGCTGAAATGTTCCTGCTCACAGTGATGGCCTATGATCGGTATGTTGCAATCTGTCGTCCACTGTACTACACCACTGTCATGAGCCGGGAACTATGCTGTCTGTTTGTAGTTGCTTCATGGGTGGGAGGATTTGTGCACTCCATTGTCCAGACTATTCTTACTATCCATCTGCCCTTTTGTGGACCAAACCAGGTGGACAATTTCTTTTGTGATGTTCCCCTTATCATCAAACTTGCCTGCGCAGACACCTTTGTCATTGAATTGCTAATGGTGTCTAACAGTGGGTTGATATCTACCAGCTCCTTTGTGGTGCTGCTTGCTTCCTACACTACTATCTTAGTTAAGATTCACTCCAAGGAGGGAAGGAGAAAAGCACTTTCCACTTGTGCTTCTCACCTCATGGTGGTGACACTCTTTTTTGGACCCTGCATTTTCATCTATGCTCGTCCCTTCTCCACTTTCTCTGCAGACAAGCTGGTGTCTGTACTCTACAATGTCATCACCCCCATGCTAAACCCCCTGATCTACACACTTCGGAACAGAGAGGTCAAGTCAGCCATGCGGAAGCTGTGGGACAGACGTGGGCTTGGGAAGAAACAGGATATGAGGCAGGGAAGTTTCTGAGAGCAAAAATAGGCAAGCACAGCAATTAATTCTTGGCAGATAAGCGGTGATCCCGAGCACTTAATTTTCTTCTGTAAATCACAATACTTCTGTTTCTGACTCTATAAGAAAACTGTGCAGTTTTAATGAATTGTGCTAACTTCTGCTTTTTTTTTATTAAAGCAAATCTGTTTTATGTTTTTATATTAGCTTTTATTCTTTCATTTTATCCTAATTCTCTCATGTACTGCATGACTAGAATGATGCCTACTTCTCAATGCTATTATAAGAATGAAAAAAGTTGATAGCTGTGAATGTGTCTAGCATGTCAGCTCAAAATAGAGTGAATAATTATTTATTCATTAATGTTGTTTTTCACAGTGATAAGGATACAGATGATGAAACTCTAAACTCATTGATTTATTTTAATGTAAAACAACTTGATTTCTTATAACTAGCTTGTGAAGGACATTATAAAATCTATAAAATGACCATGCAATTTTATCTTTCTCAGTTATTGCAATCAATTTATATTACTGTCACCAGTTGTATCCTTACAGCTATATTAAGACAAATTTGCTAACTTAACTGCTTGCTGATACTTTATAATCCAAGATAAGAAAATTAAACTGATATTGCAGTTGAGAGAAAATTTTACACAAATAAAATATAAACCTGTAATGCAAATGAACTTTGAAGTGTTTTCATTCTTATTTCTTTTTTTTTTTTTTTTGGTGCTGGGAATCAAACTTAGGACCTTCAGGCACTGATGCCACTGAGCTATATCCCTGGCCTGTGTTTTCATTCTTGCAGAAGTATCAGTCAGTGGATGATAGAAGCAATTTTAGCAACTAATCTGAATGGTGAAAGGAGCTAGAAGTCAAAACTATTTGGTGATTTCATTAAAGATTGAGACTTTTTTGCTGTCATACTTATATTTCTAAAACTTGTAACATGCTTAAAATAAAATGAATAAAATAATGGATTAAGAAAATGTTTTGAACAAATACAGGAAGCTTCATGTATCTCTTCTGATCAATATGATATTGAGTAGGAAAACAGTGTAAAGCTGTTTTCTTTCCTTATATAACGTCTATGCAAATTTTTCACTTGGACATCAGAAACTTGAGAGACCCCACAAAAGCAGGAATTAATCAAACTAAAAATAGTTAAACTTAATAACAGACACCAAACCATTTATAGAGATAAACCAAAATGTATCATCAGAATTTGGTAATTTAATTAATATCAGAAGAAACTACAAATAATGCGACTTTATCTATAAAAAGCTGAATATGGGATCAGATAAGTCTTTATTTGAATTTAGTCAGTATTCTAATATTATTCTACCAACACAGAGGTAAATGAAATTCACATTTCAGCAGATGGAAACATTTATCATGACATCATCCAGTAGATTTTTAAATAGATTAATAAACAGACCCTCTCTACTTCTGTCAGACATTTCCCACTAAGTAGAGATATATGGAAAAAATAGTATTTTGAAATTAAAAACTATTCAACATTTTGGAGTAAGAAATTTAAAAAACTTTATCTGATAAATCTATTATTCTTAAGAAATCTATAATAAACATTGTTTATCTCTGTTATTTAGTATTAGGAAATGTAAAACAAAATGTATGAAGAAACATACAGAACTATAAATTGCACAAGATAATTTATAATACACATCTAAATCTAAATGTAAATACTCAGGAAATTTTTCAAGAAAATAGACTTTCAAAAGGATTGCTTCTGTGTATACAAATATTCAGAAGTTGTGAACTATGCTATTGATATAAACTATATTTTAAAAAGATCCTTTCAAAGGCTTCTTTCATTTATAATATATTAAATGCTATCAAAAAGAAGAAAATCTTCATGGCAATAGAGTATTGAGACATAATTAAGAATGTTTTCAATGACAGCTATGTCATTTAAAAATTAAAATGAATGCATAATTAAATAATAAAAGAAAGGTGTAGTACTTGCATTAATATATACATTCAGAAGAAAGAAAATTATCAAGGGCAGTGTAAGACAGAGCACACTCATAAAAGGATAGTCCATCAAAAATGCATAACAATCTCAAATATGTGTGTACTGAACAAAACAGCTGTGCACCATGTGAAATAAAACCCAATAGGACTGAAGAAATTAGAAAATCTCCAACAATAGTTACAGATTTCAACACCCTTCTCTCAACAGTGGGCAAAAGTAGATAAAAAGTCCTTACTATCTAAAAGGATTCAACAATATCAAGACCTACCTGAGATTTGTAGAACACTACATCTAATTATAGCAGACTATACATTGTTTTCGAACATCTAGAGAAAATTTACTAAGAAAAACTGTATCCTCAATCATAAATCAAATATCAAGAAATTTAAAATATTTTATATCATGAAAAAGATGTTCTGTAATTATGAGTTACTAAAATGAGAAGGAAAGGATATAAAGAAAATTTCCAAATACTTAGGCTAAACAAAACATATAAATAATCTACAGGTCAGAGAGAAAATTTCAAATGAAATAAAAATCAAACTAGATAAAAAGGCAATATGTCAAAATTTGTGACCAAAGGCAAAAGATGCAAACAGAAATATATATAGCGTAAAGTGCTTAGATTAGAAATAGGAAAAGTCCCAAATCAATAACTTTGCATTTACTTAAGCATGCTCTGTGGGTTAGCATGTGGTCTGTTTTAGAGAACGTTCATGTGCAGCTGAGAAGAATGTGTATTCTGATGTTGTTGGGTGGAACATTCTGTAAACATCTACTAAGTCCATTTGTTCATAGGTTTGGTTTAGTTCTGATATTTCTTTGCTGGTTATTTTGTCTGGTTGATCTGTCTTTTTGTGATAGTGGGGTATTGCAACTGTGTTAGTGTTTATTTGTTTTTTCACTTCCATTAATATTTGTTTTATATAATTGGCTGCTCCTGTATTTGGTGCATATGTATTTGTAATTGTTATCTCTTCATCTTTAAGTTTTCCCCTAACAAGCATATAATTATCTACATTCTTGTTTTGAAATTCACATTGTCTGCAAATAAAATATACCCCTGTTTTTTTGTGGGTTCCTGTCATATGGAGTATCTTGATTATTATATGCCTTGGTGTAGATTTATTTTGGTCATGGCTAATTGGGATCCTGTGTACCTCCCTTATCTCTGTGTCATATTCTTTTCCCATGGGAAGTTTTCTATTAGTCCTGCAAATAGTCTTTGTATGTCATTTGTGTTGATACCTGCTTTTTCTTTGACACCAATCAACTTTATATTGTTCTCTTTGCATCATCTTGCAGCGTCAAATTATTTTTTTCTGCTCCCTTGCTATTTTTAAGAGATCTTTCCTTTTTGACTGCTAGCTGAGATCCTATATCCTAGGTCTGACAGTCTGTCTTCACTTTCATTCATGCAGTTTTTCAAACTTTCAATGAAATTTTTAATTTCCTGGATATCTGTTTGAATCTGTTTCATGCATTCCATTTCTTTCCTATGTTGGGCATTCATGATTTCCATTATTTTCTTATGCTCTTCTCTCTTTTTTTAAATCTATATCTACTCTAGATTTTCTGAGCAAGTCCAGGCTCCTGACTCCTGAGGAAATTTCCAGCTAAATATATGTCAAAGTATTTGTTTTTGGAATACAACAAGAATTATCAAAGCTCAAAGGAAAAATATATACAGGTAGCAAAATATATGAATAAGATGTTTTGTATTACTGCTGTCCACGATCACAAGTAGATCAATTAGACAACAAATTAATAAAGAAACATCAAAGTTGAATCACATCTATGAATAAAAGGACTTATTAGGTAGGTATAGCCTGTTCCATTTAGGGAGACTCATGAAGAGATGTTACTACATGCCTATCAGAAAAGCTAAATTAAAAAAGAGAGAATAATGAATTCTGGTGAGGATGGAGAGAAACTACATTTCTCATGTATTGCAGTGAAAATGTAAAATTATTTAGTTAGCCAGCAGAATTTCTATCTTTTTATTGAAAGGAACAGTTAATGTTTAATTGTTTGATCAATCTTACATGCCTATATTTATTTACCTGAGTAACCAATTTGAAGATATCAATATGTAACACAACAATAATTGTTAATTTTCTATAACCTGTCTGAAATTTTATATTGTTTGTATTGTTTTTTGTGTTATTTTGTAAATGTATGTGTGTTTGTTAATATGTTTTCATTCTTTTATCCTTAAAATTAAAAAAAAATGTTTGGCAATTTCTTCATTGTGTATGTTAGTTTGGCGATTTCTTTAAAAAAAGGAAGCAATCAAAATGTGTCCCAGCAATTACACTCTCAAGGGAGATGAAAATTTATATCTGTACAAGTTTATATCCATCCCAATTTAGAGATAAACAAAATAGCTGTCAGTAAATACATGAGTATACAACTCTTCTATGACAGTACTCATCAATGAAAAAGAATTAGCACTGATATTGCAAAACCTTGGGTTGGTCTCAAGAGCATTATGTTAAGTGGATAAAAATCTCAGTTTCCAAGTATGACACTATATGATTTCATTTACATAAATTTCTAAAAGTCACAAGATTATACAAATGGAAAAGAAATTACTAATTGCCAAAGTTTAGAATAAGGATGACAGTGTTCACTCTGGTGATAAAATACTTGCATAACTTATACAATTGGAAGTTACATAAAACTAGAAAGCAAAAAAAAATTGGGAAAACCATACATTGTTCATGTTAATTTCCTGATTTTGATCCTATAATATGGCATTTAAAATATAAGCATTAAGGAAATTTGGGTGAGATGTACACAGGACTCCTGTACTACATTGAGCAACATCCTATAATTTGTATTTTAAAACAAAAAAAGCTGTTAAAGGTCAATTGTACAAAGTCAACTACTTAAAGACCAATAAAGAGTTAAAAATAACATATTACAGTGATACATGAATATTCATGTTTATAGCAGCACAGCTCATAATCGTTAAATATTGGAAGCATCCTATATGTCCATCAACAGATAAATGGATA